AATGGTTTTAAACTGGAAGAGGGTAGATTTAGATTAGGTGTTAGGACGAAATTCTTTACTGTGAGGATGGCGAGACACTGGAACAGGTTCCCCAGAGAAGTTGTGGATGCCCCATCCCTGGAAATGTTCATGGCCAGGCTGGATGGGGCTTTGAGCAACCTGGTCCCCTGACCATGGCAGGGGGGTTGGAACTAGATGATCTTTAGGGTCCCTTCCAACCTAAACCATTCTGTGATTCTGTGATCTCTTGAGATGCTAGGAGAAATAATCTGAAATCTCCTCCAGCATCTAAGGATGGTCCAAGGATGGAGGCAAAAACCTGCAGCACATTGTCAATTTGAGATGGCTACAAAATTTCTCTTTGGCTGTTGTTATAAACCAAGAGGAGGGAAGGGTGCAGTTGGCACTTGGGAAGAGACACAACGGGTGGAACACAGAGCTCGGACAGCGTGGAGCCGCTTTCTTCTCCCGCCAGAGCCCCCAAACCCCACACAGCAGCATCCCTCACTGCTGGGAGCCTGTGGGTACCACTCCCTCCCGGAAGAGACCAGTGGGGATGGCAGGGCCATCATGAGCATCCATTGTGATAACCCCTTTGGCAGGTCTAAAATCTGGCACCAAACGCACGGATGTTTCCTTCAGGGAGCAAAAATCCTTTTGTTTTTCTGTGTTTTTTTGTGTGATTTTTTTTTCCTGGAGTTGAAATCCCAATGGTCGCTGCTACAGTCATTATGGTTTCCAAACCAGCAGCACGTGGTGGCCTGACCCTGAAAGAGGAAACTTTTATGTTTTTTATATAAAAATTAAGATATTTATATATATACACACACACAGACTAAGCTTTTTTTTTTTCTTCTTTTTTTTTTAAGAGCTGACCCACAGAAAAATGTGAAACCATTTCCCTGCAGGTTTGGAAAAGCTTGTGCTTGTGGTGTTGTGGTTTTGTGGTTTTTTTGTTTGGGTTTTTTTTTTTTTCAGATGAGATCCAGGATATCTTTTTCTTCTTTTTTTTTTTTTTTAAAAAGGCTTTACTCCCTCGAGAGAAAAAAAAAGAGATTTACAAACAAAATAACAGCCTGTATCAACTCTCCAGAAGAGAGATGGTATGACAATATTAATCCAAACATCACGCTATTTAATTCCCCAATAAAACATTGGAAAAAAAGGAGCCAACAGTATCTGCACTAACACTTTGCTACATATAAAATCTCCAGCTAATATGAAGCTTATGGTACCAACCTCTAAAACAGTTAAGATATATACACATATTTTTTGGGGGGGTATATTAACAAACAGAATATTACAAAATATTAAAGAAGGCAACTCTTCTGTCATTTGTTTCTGGGCGTGGAATTCTTTTTTTCTTCACTTGAAGTTGGCGTAGTCTGAGAAGGCGTCGATATATTCCTGCACCACCTTGTAGCAGAATTCGTACTGTTCCTGCAGGATTCGGGGAGAGCACAGCATTAGAGCAAGACACACTTGAGACACAATTTGATGTTTCATGAACTGCGGCAAGCTGGGACCAAGCATGGTCAGGTGTCGTCGGCCCAGACCGAGGGCAGGAACCTGATTCCCACCTGTCATCAGGTCCCACCTCTATTGTGCCCTCAAAAACCGGGCTACCCATGCTCCTTGCTGGGGTGCCACCAGCAAAAGAAACTCTGTTTTCCCCTTCCTCTCTGAGGTCCTATTTTGACCCCAAAAATACCTTTTTTAAAATCCCTGAGCATCCTTGCAGACCCCTCTTGCAAGACCTCATCTAGTCTTGCCTGCTCTTCGCCTCTCTGCCACATTGCCTGCCCAAGCCCATGTCACAGCTGCTCCAGGACAGGTTTCCGGGCTCTTGGAGCCCATAAATATGTGGGCTGTAGCTGAGGATGTCTCCAAGGAGGCTCCTTACTGCTTGTGTCAGTGCTCAAGAGGTGCCTTCAGCCAACCTTCAGCCAGCCAAACTCCACTCTTCCAGATGTCCTAACAGGATGGAGAGGCGATAGCTCCTGACCCGTCTCCATCCCTTACTCTTTTATGGAGAGAGAAAACCTTCAACCAAGGAAGTTTTTGCTCAGCATTTTGTCCCCAGCCCACTCCTGCTCAAGTCTGGGGTGGCAGGAAGAGCACGGGGTGTGCTCAGCTGCACTTACCAGTGTCTGCACCATATGCGGCCTCTGTAGTCTTAAACTCTTCACTGTCTGAAAGACGTCAAGAATCCCTTCTGCCTTCACCCTTTCCAGGACAGTGCTCAGTGCACAGAAGGTGCCTGTTCTTCCTGCTCCGGCACTGGCAAAGAGAAACCAGAAGGTAAAGGAAACCGCCTGTCCTGACCATGTTGGCTTTGCTCAGGGGACAATCCACAGGGGAACCACCCAAGAACTGGAGGAGCTGATGGTCCTGCCCCAACCTCTCCTAGTTTAGCTAGGATGTGATCTACAAGGCTGAAGCCTCGTGGCTTAGCTGAGCAGGAAAACTCTGTACCACATCTGCCCAGCCTGCTCCTGCTCAGCCCAAGTCTTCTTTGGTCGAAGACGGACCTTTGACCACCTCCAGAGCAGGTTCCCTTGGAAGAGTGGCAAGCCCCTGCTCCACCCAGGCTTTACCTGCAGTGCACAGTGATCGGGTGGTTGCCAGACTGCTGCTGCTGCTTCTGCACTGCCGCGATGATATTGATCATTCCCTTCCCATCCCCGGGGATCCCAACTTCTGGCCAGCCGTGGAAATGAAACTGCCGAATCTGTCGGCTCTTGTTTTCCTGGTGGAAGAGCACAGCTCGAGGTCAATAAG